GCCCGCTCCATTCCGCCTCATCACGCTGAATGCGGTTTCACCTCGCTTAATTTGGGGCTCAATCGGGGCTTGTCCGGCTTCTTGGCCTCTCACTGGGGCGTAATAACCCTTAACCGTTCTTTTCCCAGGAGTTGCCTCCTCACCTTCAGGGCCACTTTCCCGCACCCGGATTGCCCCAACCCTTGCAGACGCCCCTCGCCAATGCCCACCAGTTTTTGGTGAGGGTAGGGGTGCCCATCAGGCAGGCCTAGAATCGGGCTAAATCATTCCAGGGCGTCCCGAGGCTTTCTCAGACCGTTCCAGAGCCCTCTGGAACTGGCCGCTGCGCCCGATACACCCTTCAAACCTTTCGGGTCTCAAATATTCCAGATGTCTTCTCCTTGTTCGAATGCAGCCTCGTCTCATTTACCCAATTGCTGCGTCGATGTCCACCCAGCTGTGGTGGGGCTGGGATTGCCCAGGCACCCTCGTGGCCTCGGCGATGGCATGCCACGACTCTGGCAGCGACGCCATGGTCGTCGGGCTGGCTCGCTCTGGCGACGGCCTGAAGGTGTCCCTCTCACGCTACCCTAGCACCCCGCTGGGCCAGTCTGGCGAGGACCTGGCGGGACAAAAGGGGGGGGGGGTGGACAGAAGAGGGGGTCGGTACGGCTTTAGGTTACGCACAGACGCGCCCCCCAGGTAGTCCCAACAGGCCTCAACAGGCCCCTTGGGTAGTCTGGGAGCGGTCTCAGCACCCTGGGGATTGGGGTGTTGGACTGCCCTGGACTACCTTGTGGTCCCTGGGAAGGCTATGTCTCGCAACCCGAACCTTTGCAAGATGCGACAGAGAGGGGGGTCACCAGTTTTGCCACACGCATTTGGTTTCGGCCCCGCCGCCACGCACCCTGCCTCGGTGCATGGGCGCCTCCGCCGGCGCCAGGGCGGTGCGAGCCTCGAGTGAGGTGGACGGCTCGCGGGCCAACACGCCTCGACTCGCAGAGCAGAAAAGTCGGCGCGGCCGCCCCCGAGCTCGCGCCCGGCCTGGAGGGGAAGGGCAGCAGGTAAGGTCGGCTGCGATCAGATCAGATACATGTATCGAAGAAGTGCAAAAACTCAGAGGAGGGAAAGGTACCCATACCGCTGCCCTTCGCCCGCTTTCCCCTTTTTCGCTTTTCTTCCGGGATCTCGTCGCCACCGTTGGATTCGCCTCGAAATTCTGGTCAGAGCGCCCCCCGGGAAAGATCCGGGGAGTCGCGGTATCGGTACTTTTTGATTTTTCCACAGGAACGCCACAGACATGAATGTTAGGCGCTCCGCGCGGATTTCGCGGAACCGTGCTGGGGGCGCCCTGGCAGCCCCTCGGGCGCCGCCCCTGGCTCCGGGGTGCAGCGCAGATCCAAGAAATCTGCGCGGAGCGCCAAAGTTCATGTTTTGTTTGTTTTGCAGGTGCTTCGCAGCTCCCCCACAAGATAAACAGGCTTGTTGTGTTCGAAGGTCCGCGCGGATTTCTTGGCGGCAGGGCGGGGAATCAAGCGCCGACCCAAGACATCTACGCGGACCTCCGAAAGTGTATGCTCATGCCGTCTTTCTTCCTCGCAAGCACTATTCCAAGTCCCACTGGGACAGGGCAAGTCAGCTTTTTTCAACGTATCGCCTCCAGGTGGGGACTGGTGCCGCGAAGCCAGAAGGAGGCGTCGCCCATCCCCAACCTGGGGGGGCTCGTCAGCCAACGTGGCCAAGGTCTCCCCAGTAGGGCCGGTTGGCAGGCGGCTGGGCTTCTTAGCAGGCAGTGGCCCTCTAGGGGGCCCTGGAGCCTTCCAGGAAGGCTTCTTGGAAGCTGGGCGGGTTTCTACGAAGGATGGGCTTCTTATATGGCAGGGGCCGTCTTTAGAGGGCCCTGGAGCCTTCCATGAAGGCTTCTGGGAAGCTGGGCTGGCTTCTGCGAAGACGAAGCGCCCCTGCCTTTTTTTTAGCAGCCCCGCCGCCTCCTTAGAAGAAGGCCGACCCCCTCGCGCCACCACTCTTTTCAGTCCGCCGCCAGGCTGGGGATGCCTCTGCCTGTGCAGAGCTTCTCCCAGATCAGTGCTTCCCCCCTCCTCCTCCTCCTCCCGCTCCCCTCCCTCCTCCTGAGAAGATTTCTGGCCGATTTCGGTGGGCACCGGGCGCACAGTTCGCGGTTCCTTTGGTTCCCGGTCTCCGGAGCCGGGCTCGGGGCGCGGCCGGGTTCCGGTATTCCGAGCTCCAGGTTCCGAGTCCTGATTTGCCAGTGCTCTAAGGTCCCCAGGTCCTCGATTTCTTGGTTGCGACATGTTGCGACAGAATGCCTGGGTCCTTGCGACCACGGTCACAATGATGTAGTGGATCGCATTTTGCCCTACAGTGCCCTTGCAGACGTGGTAGCTCGCTTTACACAAATGAGCCCACTTTGCGTCTCGACACTTGGCAGCAACTTACGACCCATGATACAACACAAACTTAAGAGTTGACTAGGCCAACTGTTTACACCAATTCGTTGACTGATCTAATTGTTTGTAACCTGTGTTCGGAAATAGCTAAGTGGTTGAGCGGGTCCATGGTTTGTTCGTGTGCTCGGCAAGCACATTCATTTAGCAACAGTTTGCCGTTGTCCGTTTGTGTGTGTGTGCGTCCATGGGGGAGGAAGCAGTGTGTTTCGGGAATCCACAGTGCCCCTAGGGCGCTAAGAGGGCGCACCACCAGTCCGAGTCATCGACGCGGCGAACAGGGGCGCGGCCGTGGATTTGAGGGCGCAGGGAAAGAATGGGCAGGTTGTGGAGGAGGAGAAGGAGCTGAAGGGGGAGAAGGAAGAGGGGGTGGATGAGGCGGAGGGTGCAGATGAGGACGAGGAGGACGAGGGACGACGAGGAGGAGGAGGAGGAGGAGGAGGAGGAGGAGGAGGGCGAAGCAGAGGCCCTCCCCAATGATTTTGAGCGTGTTTGTTTTCTCATGTTGCGCGATTTCGCCTCCGTGTCTCTCCCACCCAGACGACCGCATCCTGACCCATATCCCAACCCGTATCCTGACCGCATCCTGACCGTATCCCGACCGTGCCTATCAGTGTTGTGATACGGTCGGGATTCGGTAGGGATGCGGGTCGGGATGCGGGTCGGACAATTGTCGGGATACGGTCGGCTTTCTGGGGGAGGCACGGCAGCAACATCGCACCACATTCGCGAACTGTCAGCGGGCGAGGGAGGAGGGGCAGGAGGGGGGGGGGAGGGGCGGGTTGCCGCGCTGCAGAGCTGAGCTCGGTCTACGCGAAGTCAGAGCAAAAAACGAGTGCTCGAGCGCGCGCCCTCTGAAACCAGCATCCGTGGATCACAGCGCCGTTAGTACGACAGCGGGGGACGAACGTCGGCCCGGGCGACCTGGCGCAAGGGGGGCGCACGCTTTTTGAGTCATTGTCGAGCACACAACTTAGCTTCCAGTTTTGAGGTGCAAGCCAAAGCACACTTGATCGATACGTTGTAGAACGCGAGTGGTGCGAATTGCATTCACACAACTACTTGGTTTGAAACCTGTCTATACATACTTACTCGAATACTGTACGTTGCACGTGTCCAGTTATGTTGTGTAAACGCATTGTTTTGCAACGCGTGGAACATCCACTGAACGTTCGCCCTGTTTTATACGTGCCACCCCCCGCAGGCAGATACAGGCGTTTGGTCATTTACCTAATGTACTAACCGTGTAGCTCCACTTCAGCTCCACTTCAATTTAGTGTACAAGGATTTCAGCATGGGCTTGCCAACGTTTTACCTATACCATAACAACCTAGTAAGTCTGCAGTGGCCCAGGTGCGCAACTAGACAGTGAGGAGTGCATTCACACATGCACGTATAGCATGATAGGGGGGAGATCGATGTCTATGTACATATACACATCTCGAGAGAGAGGGACTGCAGCAACACATGACAGGGCATGTAGTATGCATCAAGGGACAGAGGGGAGACCACTTGTAGGAGTATGTATGCAATGCGTACGGCAGGATCCGAGTTACAGAGAAACAGAGAGAGAGAGAGAGAGAGCGAGCGAGGGATACACGTATACAAGCCATGGAAAGAGAGGGGACCAAGGCACGTATAGCTAATGAGAGAGAG